GGACAGCGGCAGTCAGCAATTTCTGCCAACCCACTCCGCCACAAACGAGCAGTGAATTTTTCTATTGGATATTACGTGCTTCGGCCCAGAGTGGACGAGAAGCTGCATGCCAACAAACTACGGATTACTTGGGTTGGTCCATTTAAAGTGGTGGCGGCAACTGACTGCTATTTCACTGTGGAGCACCTCATCACACGTAAAAAATCTAACGTACACCCGTCACATTTGAAGTATTACGCTGACAGCTCTTCAAATATGACAACTGAGCTTATTGACCACATTTCTTCCCAATGTACTTTGCTTGCTGTAGATGCCCTAATAAAACATCGCTTCAACACCACTATAAATTCCTATGAAGTCAAGGTAAAGTGGCAAGGGCTTATATAGATTGAAGATTCCTGGGATTCACTGAAGAATTTAGGCGAAGATGTCCCATAGTTGCTGCAAAATTACCTTGCCCAAGCTAATGGCGATGATTTCCGTCTTGCGGTAGCACGTACTGTCAACGGCATGCGTTCCCAGGGCCATACGAGACGCCTGAAGCCCACCACGACTTGATCCTCTTTGACAGCATCATGGGCTTTGATAGGTTTGGCGCATCTGATTTCGTTTCAAACGATGCTGCAATGCGATAATGTGGATGCGGCTTTTGTGCAAGTGCAGACGAAGTTTCGGCATGTGAAGACGAATATTGGAAACACTACTGTATTTTATGTGAGACACGCGATCTCATTGGACAATAATTGTTTTGGAGAATCTGGTTGGTTGCAATCCCATTCTCGAGTTGATGCAAATCACTTGGATCACGAACCTGTAACACTGCAACGAGTTGAAGTGGCGCAGTGTCTCTTTCACGAAAGTGTATGGATCACGAACCTGTAACACTGCAACGAGTTGAAGTGGCGCAGTGTCTCTTTCACGAAAGTGTAAAGAGAGACTGACTCGGTCACGCAGTGGAAAGTTTGGGAAGGCAGTGGGGCGACGCCACGGCAAGCATGATTGCGGGCTTGAATAGAGTCCAGCTCCCACTGTAGCAACGGGGGCTTGGCTAGCAGTGCCAAGACTTTCAACAGATAGCAGATCCCGGCTGCTATCCATACCCGGCTTCAGCACGGAGCAGAAACCTTGGTTTACGCCACGGAATGCTCTCCCTGGACCCAAATGTCGACACTGCGGATCGCGCCGTCACTCCGAGCGAGAGTGCTGGAGTCTACTGACATGCCAGAAGTGCGCTGGTCAACATCCGACGGACCGCTCTCTCCGCGCTTGCAAAGCGGGTGTGGACGTGCACGAAGCTGGGAAGTGCTCTTTGGAGGAGTTCTTCAACCAGTTGCGTCAGTGGTATGATCCGCAGAAGCACACCGGGAAGCTCCCTCCGCACCGCCGAGAAGATGTTAAACTTTCTTTCTTTCTTTGGAAGTGCGGTTGATTATTGTCACTTAACTCTAGCTAACGGCAAGAGAAGATGTTAAACTAGGTCGATCGCTGGCATGGAAACCAGTACGAGACGAGCGATCTATGTCCGTCTACGCATACTTTGCCAAGAGATCAAGAGGCGAAGTTTATAGGCACACGGCAACACTGAATGATAATACATGCGAATCCAAAATGGTACGTGCCGCGCTAGAACGCGCTCCCCGAATTTCGGCAATCCGCTCTACGGATGAATACGCACGGGGGACGCCGTTGGGCTCGATCGACTTCCAACCAGATAAACGACGCGGGTACTGGAAACACTATGCGCCGGAAAACTGGTACAAGCAAGCCAAGATCCAGGGAAAGCTGAATAATCGGAAAGCCGTACTGCTGCCTGATACAGGCGCCGAGGTGTCCATCCTGGGCACCACCTTTGCTCGTGGTGTAGGCTGCCATGTTGATACGAGTGTGGCGCAATAATGTGTGGGCATCAAGGACGAAACGTACTTCACGGTGGGGAAGACGCGCGTCAAAGTCACGTTGGCGGGGAACATGGTGTACTACATGGACCTCTGGGTCGTGAACCTCGTCGGCCAGAACGCGATCTTTGGGATGAACTTCATGGTACTTGCAGGGGTGGGAATTGATACAGCGGACGGCACAGCATGTCTCCCGGACGAAGTCCACATCCAGATGACCGGAAGACGGCCGTTGTACTGATCACAGATGCGTTCTGTGACGATCCCGTTGTTGATCTGCGTCGCCGCGGGTCAGACTTATGACACGCTGTTCCGACCAGAGAAGAATGTACCGCGCTTGTGATTGACGCGAGGAGCGACGTGGGTAACCTCCCTGATCAAGTCTCCTGTTGGGCGTCGCACATACTTGCGCGTCACGAACATTGGAGAGAAGCCGACCGTGCTAGACGCGCATACGACGATAGTATGGTGGACGCCCACCGACGCGGTACCTCATGCGTTTGGGTTCGTACAACCTGGATAGCGAAATTACGATGAGTGGCAATACCTGTCGTACGGAGTGACCTCGGACGTCAATGACGAAGACATCTTCGGGGAAACTAACGAACCAATGACAGCGCGACGGAAGTACGTCGATCCACAAGCGATCATGGGCCGATCAGAGAAGCCAGGGAACCCGCTGGGAAAACACCAAGGGACAAAGGTAGCGGCGATATCACCCGTTTTACAGGAAGATAATACTGAGTCCATCGATGCGGTTAAGACTCGGGCCCTCCCTCTCCGAGGCTCTAAAAGGGAACGCGGCTTGGCTCGGAGCCCGAGCACGCACCGCGCGGCAATGCGGGCTCGAGCACGGACCGCATTTCAGGATGGGGTCGACGGAGGAGCCCGACCCTAGCTTTGAGGAAATTCTAGAGTACGAACACGCTGACGAGGAAGTGATATTGCACGAGGGATCAGATTTATTCGCAGAAGACATGGAAGCCGGTATGGTAGTATTGCAAGAGGTTTCGTTGACGGTATGAACACGCTGACGAGGAAATGATATTCCACGAGGGATCAGATTTATTCGCAGACGACATGGAAGCCGGTATGGTAGTATTGCAAGAGGTTTCGTTGACGGTAGAAGCGAAGATCGGGGATCTCAAAGTCGGGCGTTGCGGAGTAGGTCGACCCGGAGGAAGCTATAGAGATGGAAGAACGGGTGTACCAGATCGTCTGAAAGATGCGTAAATGTTTGATCGGGAAAGGCAACGCTCTGCCACCTGCAGCGAAGGGCGTCATCTGTGACATCGACTTGGGAAACACGAGGCCCGTCGCACAACGCGTCCGGTAGATCTCGTCGCAGTTTCGCGAAAAACTGGCTGATCTGATCCGAGGACCCCTCAGCGCGTGTATGATCCGCGCGTCGAAGTCACATTGAGTGTCGTCATCGTGAAGAAGAATAGCGTCGACATTAGACTCTGCTTCGATTACCGGTTCATCAACGGGTTGACCAAATTGGTGGTATACCCGATGCCACTGGCCACGGACCTCCTAGAAGACTTGGTTAAGTACCGGTGGTACTGTTCCTTACATATGACCAGCGAATTTGGGGTAGTTCCGATGACAGACCAAGCCCGTCTTGTCTCCGCGTTCATTACGCCATTCGGACTGTTCGAGTGGCTGCGTATGTCATTCGGTCTGTGAAACACGCCACAGATATACCAACGGTTGATAGACAACGCGTTGTACGGCGTCTGAAAACTCTCCCCGACTGAAGATACCCGCGATGTTTTCAAGGACGGGATCCCGCCAAAGCCTGGAACGCGGTCCGTGCTTGGTTGACTATCCAATATTGACGATATTCTGATCTGGGGAACGTCTTGGGACGACTTGTGCGATAAGGTGGAACGTCACCTCGACGTTTGTGAGGAGTGGCAACTGTCGATCAGTGTCGGGAAGAGCGAATGGGGGATATCAAGAGTGGATTATTCGGTGCACGAGGGTTCAGAAAACGGACTCGGGGCGAAGCCAAATAACTTGGAAGCACTAGTGACGTTGGATTTTCCGCGTACACAAAAAAGGTTGCAGTCGTTCTTGGGTAGTCTAAATTACTACCGCCGCTTTACCCCAGAATTCGTGATCTTTGCGACCGCGCTCTACTCCCTCTCAGCCGCGATTTTGAAGAACGCGTCACGAATCCGGATACGTGTGACGTGGAAAAATCGGACTACGCGGAACGCGCGTTCGTGACACTTCGCAGCAAGATCGCGGCTACCTCGATGCTAAAGCACTTCGGCGCGGATAGACAACTAGTGGTGATTGTGTATGCGACTGATTGGGCCGTCCTCACTCAAGAGCATGACGGAGTATATATGCCCATCAAGTTCACAACCCGGACGTTGAAGCCAAAGGAGCTGAACTACAACATCACCGAGAAAGAGATCCTAGTGTTGTTGTGCGTCTTGAACGAGTGCCACAAAATGTTGGTGGGAAAGACGATACTTACCTTGACCCAACATACAACCTATTCTGGTCTAAAGGACTGTAAGGTCGTTTATCGCAATGGGCCGCCATCCTCTCCTCCCCGGCGAATGGAAATCCTCCGATCGGCGAAAGGGAAGGAATAGGTTTGGGGAGCTTTGGCCGCGAGCTTCACGCCGAGAGCCTACGTTGATTCCGTATTGGGAGATATCACGCCCCGAAAATGCCCGTATAAGACGGCCCCGACTCCGGTCCCGAAAATCGGACCGACCGAAAGCCTTCACGTGATCAGCTTCGATGAATCGACCCCGGTCAAACACGAGGGCGGAGCGTTCAGCGCCGTAGTCTGGCAACTACCGAACTAGAATGTGGTAAAAGCCGCGTCTAGATACGCGGAAGGTCTTGCGTGGAACGAAGCCGAATACCGGTGTATACTACTCGGCTCTCCCTCCTTGAAGTCTTGAACGTCACATGCTTAATCATACGCGGGGATTCCAACCTGGTGGTGCGCCAAATGTGGGGGATATAGACTGTAAATCTCCAGGATTGAAGCTGTTGAGACAACAGGCATGGAGCGCGCTGCGCGAATGGCTTAGAGACGAGTTTCTGTATGTCCGACAAGATTGGAACGCGAGTGCAGATATGTTAGCCAGACAGACATTCCACCGCCAAGGAGGCCAATATTTCCATTGCTTCGAGGAAATCGAGGACCTGAAGACGCTGAATAGGCTGGGAGATGTACGCTGCCCGGTTTAGAGCGTGAAATGCGCAGTCCAGACGACCCCATCGTTGAGGATGAAACGCGTGATCCAGACAGTGAGAGACGCGGGGCGGGGAGAGTCTGTCCTGTGATCACTCGGTCGCACGATGCCCTCCATAAAACCGCTCGGAGACACCCGGAAGCCTTGAAGGGACTACAGGTGCAAAGCTGAAGCTGGATCGGGTCCGCATGGCGCAGGACGAAGAGCTCTGGATAGCGAACTCAAGAAGTTTCTAAGCGGAGATATTAGCGAGCTCTCCAAACATGAGGTGAAGAGTTGTGTGAAGATCGCGGAGCAAAACGAGGTGGGAGAGAGTGGCTTGCTGTACTACAACGTATGGGAAGACGAATCGGCAGAAAACCGGGACTTGATCATAAAAGTTAGAGACCATCACGCGAGTCCAGAAGGCGGACACCAATGCATGGGCCAACGTTCCAACGAGTACGGCAGCATTTCCACTGGCCAGGATATGTCAAAAGCGTACCGCGTCTCGTCGGAGAGTGTGTCGACTGAAAGGCAGACCGACAATCCAAAGGGAATCTCCCGGGAATACCATGTGGTGACGTGGATGAACACGTTTTCTCACCCAGGAGTATAGCGCGTTGCCGGAAGACGTCTCTGATTTCCGAAAGGACAGAGTGTCTTTGGGTCAGAACTCCGGAAGGACAACTAGTGTACCGAACGGAGGTGGCGTGTGACCTTCTGTAATCCCTATCGATCCGTTTGTGTCGACCAACAGAGGGGTTCCACCAAATGAGTTGTTAGATATCAATTGAACGGAGTGTCTACGGAACGAAGACTTCCGAACCTGAATATACAGAAGGAGAGAAGTTTACACACAAAACTTCCACCAGATAACTTAATCAATACAGAGTTATATACAATATGTAACATCTACTTATTCTTCTACACCATGAAGAGGGCGGTCTTAACACCAGTCGAACTTGGGTTCCGAACGAGACACTCGTCAGTCTCGTCGGCAATCCCTTCTCAACGTTTCGCGCACCACCCCAATAAGGATACTAGTTCCGAATCGAAGATACGTTTCAAAAAATATACGTCCTATCACAGTAATCAATCAAAATACCCTGCTCAACTCGCCACTCAGTTCCAGCACAGTCCTAAACAAACCTCCCAAAACACAGGGTAATATGAAATAGAGACTTTCCATTCGGAAACGTATTCGAGCTCTAACTTGGAAATGAAATAGAACAGATCACACCTTGGCGCGCGCCGCCACAGTCCCCGTCTAATTTGGTCTTAACTCAGAAGAGGTCCCCACGTTGGGTCGCGTCCACAACGACCCTATCTCGGGTGCAGTGTCTTCAGTCCCCCCTGGGCCTAAGTTATCTAGGCATGATTCGCCGAAGCACTTGTCACCTTCCAGGCAAAACGATCTATGTTTAAAGTAATCTAGTAAAAGCTAAGTATTTGTAAACGATATTGCATACGAATCCGCACACACTTCAAAATGACTTGACTTGAGTATAGTGGAGGTACCTTTCAAATCTTCGAACGATACACAACCACTTGATGACGGATATCCCGATGATGCGTGCAAATCTTCGTCTGGTCGGCTTGGTCGGTCGTTAAAGACTAGACTTTTGTATAGTCGTGGACTGACTAGTCGACACTTCCAGACGCCACTACACCTTCGTAAGACGTCTCACATTTCTGAAAATCTTGGAATTCTTGCTGGTCCTTGAACTTCGTGACGACGCATGACGTCATATAAACTTGAACTTCTTTTCGAAAGAGGTGTCTTGGGTTCTCCGTTCGGAACGATGTCGCTCCGTTCGGAAAGTTCCATATCCATTCGAAAAGGTATCTCCACTTTCTGTGTGGAAACGTGATGGTAGATAGTAATGTGTAGAGATCACTTGGAATCTTGGAATAAAATGTTCTCAGGGTCGTAACATGTCATTGGTCTTTGATTTTTGGTCGTGTGTGAGTGTAGCCAGAGCGAGATACGTTCCCGAGGTACATTCCCAGGTATTTCCACTCCCATTCATGGGGCTAACTCACCATCGAGTGGTCTTCGGTCCGGACGGAGCTCACTCTCCAGTTGGAGTAAGCTTTCGGACCTACGATGCCAACTTCCACTCGGTACGAGACTTCCAAAGTCACCATTAACTGTTAGCGACCAGTATATCACATCCCCTTTCCCATCCACATGTCTTCGTGCGTCACTGGTCTATCCACCAATCATCTTGACCCAGATGTGGGAAGGGGTCCATAGAAGGTTTCGTGCGTTCACAGCACCACAATCGTAGCAACATATCCATTCAAAGTGATAGAGGTGGACCATATACCGTTACTGCCTGCGTCCCACAAAGGTAACACAGGGCTGTTAATCTGGGTTGATCTGCTTACGGGTTTCGTTATCGCGAAGGCAAGTGCGTCGCGTATCGCGCAGACCATCGCCGTATCATATGATGAGGCGGTTTTCAGACGGTTCGGAGCTAGGGAAGGGATTCGCCACGACCGAGAGCCAGGGTTCATGCCCGATTTCTTCAGGGCCTTCAACAAACTCATGGGTCAACGGCAACGAGCAACTCTCGCGTATGCGTCCACAAGCAAACGGAGCGGCGGTGCGCACGGAGCAAATGATTACGAAGGCCATCAAGAGGTACATCGCGGACTTCGATCAGCGCGACTGGGACGAGTACGCGGAACGACTCAAATACTAAATACGATAAGCGGCTGGATGGATCGCGTGAGGTAGTCCCACGGACGGGTCGCGTAAAGTCTTCCACCATCACTCTATCGGCAGGGTAGGGTCTCAGAAGGCCGGAACGGGAGACGATGTGGTCGGGAAAATCCAGGCGCAGGAGGCAAATGCTCGACGCGTAACGCCCGCGTCGTGAGAGACGAGAGAGTAAGATCTCTCAGACCACAAGGTCAAGGCGTGTACCAGCTCCGTGTCCACTCCGCACGCTGCTGGAAAGTATGAATGAGGTGGGCGAAGAATGACGCAACATTACCAGCCGGTGGAGAAGCCACCGTTCCGCCGCTATTCGCGCCATCATCGCTGTATGAATCGCTGGAGAACAAACGACCGCCGTTCGACGCTACGGGTTCACCAACGTAAGCGCAAGAGCGGGCAACGTCCCAGACGAATCCGAGGCCGGATCCGACGACGAAGGCGTGAGTCGACGTCGCTGACGCGCAGAGGGACGGGCGCCAGAATCCTCGTCCGAAGACGCTGGAGACGGCGCCCGAGAGCGCGGCCCGAGGTTGGGTCGGCCTTAAAAGACGAGAGGCCACCCTAGTGAGCGGCTGCATTGTCAGATGCACTGGTATCTGCTATCGTCGACGAACGACGGCTCCGTCGTAGGCGTTGAACCACACGACTCCCCGACTGTAGAGTGCAGGTCCTCCCGGACCGGTAGTGCGAGACGGAGCTGACGACGACGCAGAATATGCGGCAACGTGAGGTGACGTCGAGAGCACCGAAGCCGGTGGCACCGATGAAGACCCACCCGAAGTCGGAAAGGGGTTTGCGGTCGAATCGCCCTGTGGCGAGAACGACGCGGTCCCCGCAGGAGATGCGGGCGTCGTAGATGCCAATACCTCGGGTAGAGACCGCAGAATCACCCTGTGTCGAAGTCGACGCGGGTACCGCCGGAGACGCAGGCGTTGTAGATGCCGACGCGCCCTTGGTTAGACGCCGGAGAAGAACAGGAGGCCGCGGTTGACGCCGTACTCGAATGCGAGGCAGCTGACACAGGAAGGCCGGAGAACGTGGCCGCTGCCCTCCCCACCCCCGGGTCGAGATCGTGCAGTAGAGGCAGGTAGAATCCTCGACACGTCACGCACAAGCCGGTTGACTTTCCGAGAACCGCCCACCGTGGTCACCATATCGCTCAGCCGAGGCACGACCGCGTCGCGGACCAGGCGTGCCGACACTTGACTAGCGCGAGCTTCCCGCAACAGGCGGCTCCACGTCATGGTAGGCTCAGTGTAGGCCAGATCGACCTGTCGATCAAGCCTTCCAGCCGAGCAACTTCGGCCCGCGAGGCACGCTGACTCAACGCGAGGGCGTTCTCAAGCCCAACCGCACGGGCAGTCAGGCGACGCTCGCAGACTTGCATCTGAACCCGTCGCTGAGCAACTGCACGATGAGCATCCGCCAGCGCGGATCGGAAGATGGTAGCGCGGGACGCAATACGAAGGACGTTGACCTGGGCGGCGTCGCGATCGGCCTGTGCCGAGACACGGGCTGCTTCGACAGCAGAAGATGACGTCTCCAAGTGGCGTACGCGCGACGTCTCGTTGGCGCTCTTCCGCGCGGGCCAACAACATCGCATTCACGCGTCTAATTTGGTCCTGGAACGGATGATTGGCTGCTTGGACCACCTCCACCTCGCGATGGCTGCAGTTTAGCACGCCACGAGAATCGCTTAGCGTCGCCGTTGTGGCGTCACATTGACCGCGACGGTGCTCACTCTCCGCGCGAAATCTCGTTCGGCGGTGACGGAGGGGACTTGAGCTCTCACAGGCACGATGGATGCCTGCGCGGTAGAGAGGTCGGCACGGACGCGCGACAACTCGTCACTCGTGATAGCTGTCAGGGATGCAGACGTGAAAACCAGAGGAGACGCGAAAGGCGGAGCGGGCGTGGACACAGCGGCTAGCTGCGAGTTCAAGCTGTAAATCTGAGCGTCGGCTCGCGCCACCGCGTTCAGGTACGTCGTAGCCTCGTCGACCGTGGTATACACAGGATTTCGTACTGTGTCCGTCACGTGTTCGCGTGGAAGGCTTGCTCCCGAAGACCTTGGTTGTCGTCGCGTAGCTCTCGGATGATGTGGTCGCGTGTCTCGACCTCGCTGCTGAGTCGGTCCGCGGCTTGGAGACCTAAGTCATAACCCTCGCCCTCGCGATCTCGCAGTGCGACGAGTTGGTCGTGATGCACGGTCGCGTGGGTCACAAGACCAGCATTCAACGCGGCCTATAACTCCAGGCGAGAACGTAACACCTGGGCCGTGTGCTCCAGCGCTGTGGCGTCTGCCATTAGCACATCCACCGACCGAACGGGGTCGCCGACAGCCGGAATGCGTACGGCGGAAGACGGAGGTATGGTCGGGCATTTAAGCCGGTGGCACACATCGCGCACCCATTGGGGAGAAAGTCATCAGGACCTAGCTCGCGTGTGGATCCGTCGGAGCTGGACTCACCCAAAGATTCACTGGAGTCGTTCGGGGGCCTGTTGGGGAGACGCACTTGGGTCAAACGCGTGCGGGGGGTAACTAGAATTGGACATTATGCTGGAATGCATGGAATGACAAGGGCGAAATGTTAGGGTACACCAATTACAAGAGGTTCCGCTATTATCCACTCATCGGGGGAGTCCACGGGAATACCGGCGGGATGTGGTGGAGTGCCTCGAAAGTGATGTGGTAGAGTACTTCGAACTGGATGTGGTGGAGTGCTTCGAAAGTGATTCAGCACCATATTGCAGTTGGCCGGCAACGCGAGGCGAATTACGGAAAAAGACCAGAATGATTGACGGGCAATCTGATTCGATATCAATTCAGACGGTGACAAAACGACACGGCTCAGAATAGTGACCCGGGTTCAGGGTCCGGGCCGACACGTGACGCGACCGCAGTCCAGAGCCCGAGCCGACCCGTGATGCGACACCTTGCTGAGATCCCGTGCCAGCCCATGCTGAGAACCCGTGCCAGCCCGTGACCCGAGCCCGTGCTATCCCATCTGAGCTCGGATTACAACTGAGGTCGAGGTACTGCGCGGATTAGGGTTGCAATTAGGTGTGATACGGTAGGCAAATCATGCAGAAAGGTAGGATGGCTAGGATAGGATCAGTCTCCAAAATGCTTGGTCTCACACAAGTCTAAGGCTTTTTCTCGCTTCTATGCCTGAAGGCTTTCCTACGCTCGGCAAGCAGAGCCGCCTCGATAAGTGCGGCCCACGACGTGTGGACTGGTAGGTAAACTCACCTCAACATCCCGTGCCTGTAGTGAGGGAAACGTAAAAGAATACCGTCAAAACGTCCTCCGATAACAGGACGCGGGCTACGAAAAACGAGTGGTGGCACGATAACGCCCCACACCCTCTAGGAAACGCCGCACGACCACTGACAAAACCCCACGACTGAAGGTGAACAAGGCCGGAAGTTGACGTCAGAACTGACACACGTCCATTAAGACAACCCACCGCAACAAGATTCTACCCTAGCTACATCTCCAACTGACCTGAGATACGCTACTACAAGTCCCGGGGAAATACCTGACGCAGCCATTGATTCGGTCGCGAAGGGTTTGTGCGAGGGCAAGCTTCAGCCAACTTTGAGCACCCTACACTATTGTTGAACAAGTAGTTCAACAATCATGTCTTTATCATGAACGCATGATTTGAATCCAATTCATTGCCATATTTGAGCGACAAGAACTTGGCAAAATCTACACTCCTAGGGAGCCATTCGAAGTTCCTCAGGAGTGTCGATGTTAATATCCATATTTGTCAGT